CCTCGTCGTGATCGTCGTGACGATCGGTTGGTCATCAAATTGTTATCCATTACCTCAGGGAAGATTGATAGTGCTTTATCTCACTCTGCACAGGAGACATTGCTGAGCAGCATCCAGAACTGCTCCCTATCCTCGTAGTCACTGCGATTACCATGCTCATCCCGGAGGAATGGATTTTAGACCCTCTGATTCAGCTGTTCGGCATTGGCCCTAGCGGCCCAGAGAAAGGTACTTTTTCTCCAATTGCTTTGTTGAGTAAGTTCTTAGTCATTTGTAGGCTCGATCGCGGCGTGGGCTCAGCGTACCTTCTTCGGAGCCGAGGTGAAGGCCGGAAGCTGGTTTTCCTTGCTTCAAAGTGCGGGAATGAAGCCTGGTGCACCCGCTACAAAGGGCGTTCTAGTAAATATCCTAGGTGCAATTGGTGCACTAGGTTCCACCGTCACGGGCATCATCGATCACTGGAAGCATGAGTAGGACTTTGTTTGAGCGTCTGGGCATGTAGCACATCGTCGAGCCCTTGCTGTCATATCTGGCACTGTCGACATTCGAAATGATGTACGTGTTATTAGGATGTAACAAATAACTCTTGAAGTAATACCGGCACTTGTATGATTTCCAGTCGTGCCAAACGTGTTTACGATGTCGTGAGCGTAAATGGCAAGATGGGCGCCCGATGAACCCTGCTCAAGAACATTCATCTCCGCGACTCGTATCTCCGAATGATGCAGATATGCACGAGACTGTCGTAACACAGCGGGTTGTCTGGATGGTCATCCGACTCGACAGCATATCATACCCACGATATATCAGGTATATCGAGCATACCAGCAAGATGTCAAATGAAGCATGTTGATGGACAGTCGAATGATGCTGGTCTTGCGAGCTAGAACGGAATATGATGTGCTCTGGCAGCATGCGTTTGTCTTGACAAGCGTCACCAGTTGCAAGTTCCTCTCGGAAGGATTTAGATAACTGGGTGCTCCCGTGCCAAAGACATCCTACCATCTGCGACTGGTGACAAGACCGGATTGACTTTGATCGCACAATGATGTAGTCTCAACCAGACGGAGTGTGGCATTCAAAGGACCTCTGTACGAGTTTGGAAACAATCACTGGGATCCAAGAACAAGCGACGGGAGTAGCTCTGCAATACCAGAAAGTCAGGAGCGGGAGACGCTTGACGTGTGTAAATATCGTGTTCTGGCGCTTGCATCCCGTAACGACCGTGACCAAAGTCCGACCGTTCCTTCAATCTCACCCATGTCGATTGGTCTGCAACCATTCTGCTAAAGATACTCTCACCAGATTGACCTTCTGTGCAAATGATCTTAATGACCCGCTACTTATGCAGCATCGTTTTTGTTGCCAGCCGTCAGCAACTGACACCTCGCTCGGAATCGCGCTCTTCGTATCACAGGGCTAGTCTGTTCTGTATCAAGGCACTACTATCTGAGGCTGCCACTCTGGGATGCTTACATGTGATGTCGTTGAAGGTGGGGATAACTACTTAAAGCCTACGCATCTTCCCCACGACTCGAGATCCCCCACAACACTGCGAACATCCCCTGTCCGCAGACCCATAAGCATGGCCATATCCAACGATATGCCTGTGTCATATAAGACCAGTACGGATTCATCCCCGTCTTCATTACCTGTCCATGAAGCGACGGGCTTGAGGTGCACCACAGAGTCGCTGTCCGGACCCGCATTTTATCAGATAGGGTCCACGATGCGCACTCGACCACTGGTTTCTGTGCAGTACCTGAAGGCACATCTGCGCCTACTTGGTGCATTCAAGTCTTTAAGAACCTACGTTGAGAATGCTGGAGATGACCAACTTCCTATATTGGCGCTGGGACTGGATAAGTCACAACGGTGGTCATGGTTTGTTGGCCTTGCGGTAGACCGGCAAGTCGAGCGAGAGACTTTGTTGAAGTGAAGCTAATAGTCTCAGTTGTCGTTGTATAGCTTCCATCGCTGGGTGG